CCCCCCCACGATCGCTAGCTTTGGCTGCGGGGGTGGAAACAGCGTGAGCACACAGCCGAGGGCAGATCACCAGCATGGCTGGACATCAGTTTACACCGAGCGTGAAGCCATACCCCAAGTACTTGTTTAACAGATCGTTAGATACCTCAGGTGTGTCTGAAGGAGTTCCAGTCCCTACAGTGCAGGCGTATTGGCTGGCGAGAACATGAGCGAGCGTGAGATCTGCAACAGAAAGATGCAGGACAGGACTCAATGAGGTTGAGAAATGGGCAGGCTCGGGTAGGTGGCAGGGATCAAAGGCATTGGCAGGAGTTCCGACTGCGGTGCAGCAGGGCAGGAACGTGATGAGAAGCCGAGCGCCTGGGGAGGAGGGAGAGCGCCGGGGAAAAACATTTCAGCTGCCTCCGACGATGGGCAGGCCGCCAAAGGCGTGTGAACCATTGGATGTGTGCTTTGCACTGGCTCTCCCAGGAGAAAGAGTGGACAGAACAGAAAGAAGGAAGGAGAGAAAACACCAGCAAGGAAACCGAAAGCAAGAGGCAGGACACTGTATCTCGGATCAGCTTTGCTCTACAAAGGCCATCGCTGGCAGGCACGCTCCACGCTGGCTGTCGGTAGTCGCACAGTCTGAGCGCGGTCACACAGCTTAAAATTCTGCGTCCTGGAACTTCAGGCCACAATTTTTATTTCTTTATAATTGCAAGCCCTTGGGCACTTTCTAACAGCAACCAGGAAAGCTGCTAAATCCTCTTCTTTTCCCAGGAGTGTGAAAACAAACAGTCAGAAAAGCAAAAAACACCACATTAACACAGGATATTCCCTGCCCTATCCTACAAAGATCCGCTTCCCTTTTTCCGAAACGAGTGTCGAGAATGCAGATGAACTCTTGCAAAACTCCTTCAAGAGCTGAGTAAATACTGAAACGTCCTCTTGGCTTGGGAATAAGTAGTTTTCACTAATGAAATTTGGTTTGCCTTGGAACTTCGCCAAAGTTTCCTCTCTGCTGGATCTGTACTATTTTTATAATACCTGTATTGGGGTGGCAACCAGGAGCAAGCTTGCTAACTACCACCAAAATCTAGTTCAGAAGAAGAGGCCTTATCCCACATGTTTTCTTACCCTGAAATGTATCGAAATGTGACTTGCGTGATATTCCCACCTCTGTGACAACCTGGGAAAACTGCTTGCTGCGTCACATTGGTAAAAGTGAGAGCAAAATTGCAAGTGACCGTCTCGCGTTTGGAAGGGGCTGAAGCAGAGGGCGTGGGGTGAAGTTTGTGGAGAGCAGAATCCTTAGCAGCGGATCAGAAAAAAACCCAAACAGTATGGGGTTTTTTTGTACAGATGAGAACTATAGAAATGACCTGAATTAGCAGGCGGGATTTTGAACAGAGGAGCCGTGCCGGGGGGACTGGGTGACCGGGTTTAACATCGAGAGAGCTA